GTAATTACTAGGGTTTTAATATGATACATGGCAATCTTAAATTTTTCCAGTTTCGGTTATTGGCAGTCCTGGAGCTTCTTTTCTATGATTATTAAGGATAATTAATACATTTGAATTCAGATAGTAGTAGGACTATTAAAGTAAATTTTTAAAATAAATTAATAGTTTAAATAGAATTATGATTTTACAAATAATATGCTATTAAAGTAATACTGTAGGGAATTCGGTTTGACCTTCTGCAGGTTATTTAAATTGGGAATTCCTCGATGGCTTTGGACCGCCTGTGCCTGTTCCGAAAATTCATGTGAATGAATATTTCTTGAGAGTTTCCGCCACTCTGTTTGCTCGTGGAGGTTTTTCATTGTTTTTGGATTTTGCATGTTGGTGTTGTGCTTCGTTGTTTGTATGTCTCTTCCTTATTTTTAGTTCGTTAATTAACCTCCAATTATTTTTAGATAATTAGCTTCTTTTTCTCTCTTCTTTCCTTTTTTTTGGTCTTGAGGGGGTCGACCTTTCATAATCATATGGTCCATGGGACTAGGAGGATTGGGTCTTCTCTGTATTATGACTATTATGACTTGGAGGAGGGCTTTGATAACGTTTCCTCAGTTGGCTACAGCGTGTATTTCGACCACGTGATGCGGAGCTGTTGCGCTGAAAAGGTTCAGCTTGGATGACTACTAATTGAGCAACCTGTTTGGACAGATCATCAATATAAGCTTGTAACGCCACAATACCTGGACCAGGAGCCTGCACTGCGTGTATTTGCGCTGGAATGGCCATCTCGTGAATTTTATCAGCGATTTCGGGAAGATTTTTAAGTGGCTCGCTACTGGCCGCTAAAATAGTTTGCATGTTAGATGGGAGTCTATTCATCCATAATGTTTTAAGAATGTTATCCGTTAGGTTACCGGCGACTAAATCTGACATTTTAGACAGCAAGTGAGAAGGCCTCATATCACCCAACCGTAAATCATGCAACAGCTGTTCGATTTTAACTGTCTCGGATTCTTCATAAACAGAAATTAATTTTTTTTTTTTAAAGATTTGTAATTTGTCCGTCGTCGATGGATTCAAAATTATTTCATGAGCTGATTGCAGTACCTCTGATTCTAACGCAGCGATCACTGTATAAAATTGAGTTTCGTCGGCAGTAATGTGACTCAACTGCGCATCCAATTGAATGAACCATAACGATGGGTCTCGGCGAGAAAAAGGCGGTGGCTTAACTGCCACTCTCGCCAATTGCGAAGCAGCATCGTTGTCAACCACTTTAGCTCAATCAAATATGCACAATAATAATATGTATAGAAAAATAATGAATATGTATATAGTGACACAGTTTCTTGGTACTCGAAATCAGAGAAATTGGAGGCTCAAATGCAGCAGACGATACATATATCCGCTGAAATTATGACAGAAATATGTTGACTCACCGGAATGCGGCAAAAAACTTGAAATGACAGGTGAATGTCTTACTTGCATCTCATCACACTGGATAACTTACTGCTGCTCAGAATTTAAACATATAAACTCCATACTTGTGCAACATTGAAGGTTGCCATTCGTAATAAATGCGTGTCACCAATTATGGTAGTACAATTTTTTGAGACAGATCGTTAAACAATTCTAACAATTGAATGGAACAAATATTATTTTTGTTTTTGGTTGCTATGGGTTATCAGACTGGCAGAGTTGAGTTGTAGTAGGTAAGTTGCCACATATCTGTTTATCTATAATGTATATTAAACTTTTAATTGTTTAAAAACTGTACTTTTTAAAAACACTTATATAAATATGTAAAAATAAATAACACCTTTTTAACTAATTCTAGATCATCGTAGGTCAGATTTTTCCGCCGACACAGATGCATTTCCGAATCCAAGGCTAGTGCAGTTAGGTAGTGACTAATCTTTATATATTTTTGAGCATTTTATGGCAGATTCAGCATTTTATTATTATTTGCATTATTTTCTTATTACGAATATATTCTATACATTATATTACTGAAAGTTTTTTTTTTGTGTGTGGGGGGGGGCGCCAAAAAGTTATTTTGCCCCGGGCGCCAGTTACGCTTGCTACGCCACTGCAGTGTTACATATTTTGTGGCATGGTGCAGTCTCTGTGGGTCCTAATTTCTGCTACCAAGTGGCTCCCTAAATTCCAAAAATTTTGCCAGCCCTAAATTTTGCATCCTGGTGCCTTTCCTAAATTCTAGAGACTTTGCCATTAATTAATTTTGTTGCTTGGTGTTTCTCCTAAAGACTAAAAATGTTGCCTTTCCTAAATTCTGGTGCCCTGTGTGGCTGCACCAGCTCTAGTCCTGGATTTTCCTGAATAATAAATCAGCTATTCTCAAATGAAACAGTACTAAATATAATCTTTTGGCTTATGAGTATCATTTACAAAATCTATTTTTTGCATATGGAAAGAAATTTCTGTTACAATTTCTTTTTTTCAACACTTTGCAATGCAATCAGCTGAAGTCTGTAATCAACAGTAAGCGTAATGCCAACATAAAAGGTTACTATGTTCTTTGGTATTCAATTCATATTACTTAAAAAAAGTATTTGACATCATTGTGTGAGTCATTTATCAAGCTGCGATGTCTTGATAGTCATGGGCTGATGAAAGTAAAAAAATAAATTATGAATTGCCATACTAACTCATACATTCCCTGACATACATCAGGGATATAAATTATTCAGTAGGAGTAAAATCAACACTGAGCCAAATTATGGATCATATAGATTTATTCTAATGATTGATTGTTTAATTATTAATTAACACACAATAACATGCTGAACAAATACCAATTCAGAAGTCAAACAACAAAAATCAGCGTTATATTTTCAAATTTTCACAGGACTAGTTTCGATGGTTTTACTGAACCACCATCCTCAGCTGCAAAAGCACAAATGAACAAGATAGGATATAATGATTAGATAAGATAAGAAAGCCTAAACAGAAGATAAATTAGTGGCGCCATCTGTTGATGAAACCAGAACTAAAACATAATTTTTTTTAAAGGCCAAAGGCAAAGATGGATTGGAATTAGGATCGTTAACTAGAACAGAAAGATTTTCTAGATGCATTTCACATTCAAAAAAATCTTTCTGTTCTAGTTAACGATCCTAATTCCAATCCTGATTCTACCAACATGATTCTTTAGATATTGAAAGATAAATTAAATGACATTATATTTCAACTATTGACAGTACTTTTTACTGCAAATTACTACACTAAATTAATCTGTAAATAACTACTATCATTCTTCAACAACCACTATTATATTTTATTTACAATCCACATATTATTATATGAAATTATTTATAACTTTATATAATATTTATGGAATTTATTGCATATTTTTAATTAATAGTACCTAGTAATCCTGAGTTATTTAGTCAAGTATTAATTTAATATTCAAAAACATTTTCTGAGGAAAGGTTTTTATTTCAACTTCAATAAATAAGTAATGTACATATTATCTAGGTAATTGGCTGATTAAGTAGGTAATGTGAGAAATGAAACTGCTTTTTTTTCACTTTAATGGGTCAGCCACATTACTCTGCAGATTACCAAGATAATCTGTACATTACCCGATTTCAGCACTTCAGTGATAACACATGAATGCTCATTCTACAAGTGTTATGCTGTGAATAAATTGGGAATTTTAATTTGTAGCATCATTGCTACTGCACTAAAGACCATTTGGTTACATATTCTGCAACTAATCACAATATAGTTAATAAATACATCGCACCCATAAAATAATCTTAACCATATAAATTCTTCCTATCCTTTTCGTCAAAAATTATTACATTGCTAATTATCCCTTCTAGGCTGTGAAATGATAAAAAAGAGGAGGAAGGGTGATAAGTAAGTAATAATAATTTGGTATTCTCCCAAAAGGTGATCTACCTTACTTAACCGTGTAGCTACTTTATAGATTGGTAAGTGGTGCAACTAAAATTGTTTTTTTTTTTTACACATTTATTTCATCTGCCATTTTATCGCACATTCAAAATGAAATATAGGAATTTTTTTATTAGATTAGCTGGTTTAAATATTTCAATGAATTCCTCGATATTAATGTCGCCCAGACAGTATAGTGGTTAGGGTAGCAATGGGCCTGGGTTCGAATCCCAGAGAAGACATGGATGTTTGTAAATGTATATTGTCGGTGCAGCATTCTAAATATGTGGTGAGCTGAAAGTCCTCTCATGTGGATTGGTGGGAGAGGAGAGGGGTGGGAGACCCCCGGATCCCCCGCAGGGTGCTCTTCCTCAGTATTGGGGGTAGGAAAATAGAAGTCCTACCTCTCTTCCGAGAAGGCTCTGACAGCCATTGTTCTATGTAATATGGACAAGGCAACAACTCGATATTAATATAACTGAAAATGAACCCCTAAATGTTATAGAAATAGATAATATCAAAAATTTTGCGCATATAGCGTGAATGAAACAGGTAAGACAAAATGCACCCAACTTTTGTACAGTTATATGTATTTAGTTGTTTTAGAACATATTTACAAACAATTTGTTGTAAGCAGAGTGTTGAAAGAAGACACATAATGAATTTAAGAGAGATAAATTAAACACTGTTGCTGCTTAAGGTAACAGTTATTTCGTTTGCTTCTTATTTCAACTGTTCGTAAAACCTGAAATTTATTTGAGAGTGAATTGATAACAAAGATTCGAAGCCAGCATTTTAAAAGCTCTTTGCAAAGCAATGCAAATGTGAAATTTATTCGAGAGTAAATTAATAGCAAACATTCGAAGAGAGTATTTTAAGAGCTCTTCTCAAATTCAACAGAAAAATTGCATGTGAAAGCAACATTGCTTTTACAAACAAAATAGACTAAAAAAGAGAAGGCGCCATCTATTACAAAAGTAATTAACTAACAAAATTCGGTAAATCACCGGTTGGGACAGTACCAAAAATTTCTATTCAATAAAATGCTCTGGATTAAATTTCTGGTAACTTATGCCACTAACCTTGGTTTTCTGTAATAATGATCTTGCCAAGCAAAGAAGTTGTCTTTCACCAGAACTAAAGTTCTGACCTCTTTCTTCAATTTCTGCATCCAGGCCACCTACGGAACGAATTTTTTCTTCCATATGACAATGAAGTAAAGCCTTCCATATTTCTGCATCACTTCGCAAATGATTGGGGTCCAAATTTTCACGTATACTTCCACAAAATAAGAAAGGATCTTGAGATATAAGAGATAAATTTGACCTAAAATTATATATTAATTACAAATGGAATAAATAAAAACAACAAACATTAAATTTCACAGCAATAAAAATAAAATAGATTCCAGTGCAGCACATAAAACTATAAAAACATATAAAAGTTAAAAATATATGATTATTATTTTAACAAATTTTTGAAGTAGAATTTAGCCAGAACGATAATGCAGATATTAGAATGCTGATAAAATAAAGCACTGCATTGATGAAAACAGAGATGTCTCAAATGGTGCATATTATGTGCATATTATTCCAGAATTACTAAAAATATTTTCTCAATTATTAGTAAAAGCATCCAAAAAGTTTTGATCCACTTTCAAAGGTATTTCTAAAAACCTGTTTAGCTTCCATAATGGAAATTATAGACTTATTTATTGAAAATGATGCAGATTTTTATAAGAGTTCAAAGGCAAGATGTAGTGTTGTGGATGCCTTGTCCCCTATGCATAACTTCTTATGGAGCGCAAAAGAAAAATGCAAATGACATTAGATACCTTCTTGATAAAAAAAAACAGAAAATTGGAAATGCAGAAAAATCTGAATGATCTAAAATATAAATGGTGACATAAATTATTTACCAAATTTTATACCAATTTTTCCCTAACCCCATTATTTGCATGATGAGATGAACTTGTTTAACGCTATTTCATATAACACTCTACTTTGAAGCTGAAGAAAAGGGTTTTATATTTAAACCTTCGAAACAATTCCAGTAAATTTATGAATATTATGCTTTAAGTCCTCCAATAATACCTGCAAAAGCTCCCTTAAGCCTGACTTTTATGCCATATTAATTTTCAATTATCGTTACACAAAACACCTGTTGTCACCTTTCTCTATAAAAGCAAAAATCTTCTTTTGCTAATAAATAAATAAAAGCATAGTTTCATAAAAAAAATTTCTCAGTGAGGGCTTTATACATCTGTATCTATACTTACATATATAGGGATCCTATTTTACAAACATTTGTTTAACGTGCATGCATACATAATAAACACTAATTGTTACTTCACATACATGAAATCGTCACATACATGTAATCTTCACATACATTAAAATAGTTAAATTTCATGAAGTAACCAATCAAGCTGAATTACTCATTTATAGAGAATGAACAAAAGACAATTATCTAATCCAACCAATCAATCAGCATTTTATGATTATGCATGATGTCATCCAAAAGCATGGCACACATTTAGCAAAAAGTACACTTCTCTGCATCTTCTGTAATTCAGAATCTGATTTCAGCATTCAATAACCCTCTGACTGTGAGATCCATGAATAGTGAGTTCCCTAGTTATCCTGAAAGCATATTAGGAATGTACTTATCATGTTGATACTTAAATTTTGTGATATATTAATGCTGCAAGCACTATTTTTTCATATATTTATTATTCCATTTCCAGTTTATAATTTTATTTGAATCAAATTCTTTGTTTTTATGAATTTGTAATTGAAATCAGAGGGTTAAGCAAAAATAATTTTTTATAGCACTAATGTATTATCTAGAAAAATTTTTGAGGTGGTGATTTGTTAGTCATTTAGAAGATGATCAAACAATTATGGAAACAGCAGGATTGCTGAATGTTTTGAGAGAAATATTCTTTGCTTTCTATAAACAATTTAAAGATTGAAGTTTTATCTAGGAAGCCATGATAAGGCCAAACAGTCCAGCACAACAGAAGCTTGATTGCCAGGCAGCTGCAATGGATGTGTCACTGACTTGACATGATTAAAAATCTATCTAAATGGTGCTAAGTACACCAGAGTTGGCGCCTAGGCCAGAGTGCATCAGTGCAAAGTAAAGGTTCAGTTTAACATCTGATTATAAATGTATTTATATCTGGAACAAGTCAAGAATATGAAATATATCTACGAACATAACAGAATTTGATGATTATGACAGTGCAGACATATGAAGAAGTCTAATTATTGAATGTTCTGTGCTTTATGTGCTAATAGAGAATCTATACTTACCTAAAGATACTTAAATAAAATCTTTCAACCCAACATAAAGCCCTTTATAGATGCATATGGATTTGACTTTCTTTTAATAAATAACAAGTACTTTCACACTGAGAAAATCTGGTTGATGAATTTCTCATTAGCGAAGACATTGGGTGAATAAGCTGGCCTGCCAAATCTCCTGACCTGAATCCTTAGAAAATTTACGGGACACCTCTTAGGAAGAACAGCTTTATAGCAAAGTTCTCCTTCTAGAGATCTCAATGTATTGAACATTATAATTATAGAGGAGGTTATTAGCCACCATCTGAAAAGCATGAAACTGAAAAATGACACATGTACACATGAAAAGAACACATTTTCTATTAATATCAAAAGATTCAAAATTTGTTTTTGAGATAGATTCTAATCCTTCCAAATTTCATTGCTATATATTATATCAACTTTATTTTCAATGCAATTTAGCTTTGTATCTTTTGCATTCATTTATGTGTTATGATGTTACATATCACATTCCTTAAAAATGAATTCTATTGAAAACTTTTAAAGAAATTAATACATAAAATGAAAGTTTTTAAAGAACAACATATAGTATTAGGTTTCAGTAATGTCGTGCTTATGGAGAAATTTTAAAGCACCATTGCTCAAATATTGAAATTCTAAATTTTAGATATTTGGACAACAATGACTTGTGATGCAATGTATAATTTTATTAAAAACTCTTATTGTACTATGGGTATTTAAACTATCATACAAAATGTATAATTACACTTTAAAAAATTTAATTTTAGCAACATCTAGATTTTGAAGGTAGTATAAGCATTAGGCAGAAGGCAAGTGGAACAGAGAGATTGAATCTCCTGAGTAGTGCAAGAATTTAGAAGTATATACATATCCTTTGAGCAAGGTTGTAAAGATGCTTATATTTTTGCATTCTTTATCTAATTTAATGCAAATTTCGGCCCATTAAAAGAATCAACAAAAGGTAATATCCGTAAATGAATCCATATGTGGTTTGTCAAGTTGAAGTCATGAATAAATGAACCATTTTTTGACTGCTAAACGCATCTGATTCTATGCACTGTGAACTATTTTCTGCCCTCATCAACCTCATATACTTTGCCACCTTTACATCCATAACATCTGTTCATAAACAAACTTGCCATTTCATGAATTTGTGAATAAGCAGAATATGCATTATTTTCTTCATATTAAAATATTATAAAAAAATGCAGACAACATTAGTTTTGCAATGGTTGATACTAAAATTTAGCTGACTGTTGTATGTCAACAACTTATTTCATATGCACAACCATAGCAATTTGCAATTTTCTATGTTATTATCAATTTTCTATCTAGCTAGCAACATTTCTGAACAATATGCTATAGCAAATTTTCTCATAAACTTTTTCATAAAACAAATAGTTTGAACATTGCAACTTTTACAATTTACATAAATTAAACTCAATATATATATATGTAATAATAAAAGCACAAGGAAAAGCCGGAGCAGTATGCGTGATTAGACCCATATTGAAGAAGATTTTTGATTGCGTAGTATTTAAAGAACTTGGCAGTCGAGGCAGTTTTAATTCCATTTTTATTTCCAATTGATATTTGTGGCCACAATCACTTGGCACTCTAGTCGTGCCTTTCCACAGAAGATTTACATTTTTGATATTGTTGGGATAGAAAGCAAGCCAGCGAAATTACATCTTAGCACGGTAGAGAGCAAAAAGCCGAAGTGCATAGTTATGAAAGATGGAAGCACGCAAAGAGAAAAGTTTTGGTTTACAATTCGGTGATTGGTCGTCAAGAGGCATCTGGTATTAACGGTTACATAAGATCGCATGATTAATTTGAATGACGCAATGCAGATAAGTCATTACGATTTTAGAATAGAGAGGAAGAATTAATGTTTACAGTTATATTATAATTCTGATTCATACATTTTTATCTTACATATTTCCCCCCTTCAAAAAGAAAAAGGCGTAGCGACAGAGAAGCCTTTTTAAAGAGAAAGAGTTAAAGCACTAGCAAATGTTAAAAAAAAAAAATAAAAATAAAAATAAATCATAAAATTTTTGTCCTGTAAAGTATAATTTATAAATATCAATTTTTTTTAAAATAAATTTTTAATTTTTAGAGTCCTATTGAATTTTTCAGCATCTCGGTCCAAAAGTCTTTTTGTTTGAGAGTTCACATAATCATAGTTCTTCAGGGAAGGTTCTTGTTATCGCAGAATATCACAAAATAAACTTTTACATAATCATTACTTATAATTAAATGTAATGCACATAAATATTTATGATATTAATTTTCATATTGATAAATTATATTTTAATACCATATAATAATAGGAGTAAGCTTCAGAAATTATGGTTTCACCGTTATCATCTTTCATTTACAATTCCTGTATTTTACCAAACTGGAAGCCTCGCAATACTTCTAAACAAACATATCCATCAATAGGGCTGTCCTCTTGAGCTAACCAGTGTGTTCTATGCACTGGTGGCCCAGGGTGCCTAGGCAGTTACTTGAAAAGGCCTCCGTTCCTTGCATTAAGGTAACTGGCCTTTGAGAACTGCACTAATACATTCCATAATAAAAAAATATAATAATAATATAAAAAAATTACAATATAAAAAAATTACTCATAAAATGAGAGCCTCCAACATTATCTTGCATGAAGAGGGTAAAAGGAACAACTGTACAGAGGTAATTACAGGCCTCTGTTGAAGGAACCAGTACACCCTCATCATACTATACTTAACACACAATAAGCCATAAATTGTAACATGCATTTACCATAATTTCATATTACGTATCTGTAATAATTTCACTTATTTTTTATACCAACTTCATTTTTAGAATAATTATAAAATTAGTATTCGAAATTCTCAACAAAATTTCAAAAACATAAAAACTTATCTTCATATCCTTCCCTATGAGTAATTTAAATAGCTTAAAATTCGTTACTTAATTAATAATAATAATGAAAAATTAGAAACATTAATGAACAAGAATTTCAGATTTTCTCAAAACAAATTGCAGAAATTTTAACCAAAGTTGAAATGAAAACTATAGAATCCGCAGCACATTAAATAATTTAGTTCCGGAGCTAGCTTCACACGAATGTAATAATTTTTGAGCTGTTGCAAAAGCGGAAGTGCAAATAGTAATTTTCTGTCGCACATACTTGCAAACACTAACTCGGATCGACCTTGAACCCGCTGTAATGCTGAATCCCTAAACGGTAATTCACTGATGATTTCCTTTTTACTAGGCATTCGAACTTCTCAATTTATCGAGAGATTACTTTCAATCTGTAAACACTATGTGTGATTATTCTTTTGAAGCACTTGCAAAACACCACGGCAGAAGAATGATCTGTTATTTTTTAAACACTGAAAAAACTAATTTGATGATTCACTTCTTTCACATTATCTTGGATTTATCACAAAACAATGATTTGAAGAGCTGAATTAAATTTTCCATTGAGGTTTCAGGCTGCAGGAAACTATCCTGCAATTTTCTATCTAGCTAGCAACATTTCTGAACAATATGCTATAGCAACATTTTCTCATAAACTTTTTCATAAAACAAATAGTTTGAACATTGCAACTTTTACAATTTACATAAATTAAACTCAATATATATATATATATATATATATATATACATATGATAATTTAATGTGCTGCTTGAAAACTGCATAGTTTAACTTCCGGCAGTAGTCATGGCTGAGTGTGAAGGCATGAAGACTAAGCCAACAAAACTGAATTTGAAGAATCACCATCTTTGTTTTTACACACATCACATCATTTCTTTGTAGACAACATACTTTTCAATCATAGTTGAATACAATAATTTGTACCGTACACGAGTTTTAAAGTACAACATCATCTTAGATAAGTAAGCATAGCAACAGAGGTTTTGCATGGCAGGAGAAGTTAAGAAGTGATATAACTGCTCGCAAAGCAGTATTTATACTAGGCAGATGCATATGTACAGCTAAGCTGTGATTGGTTAATTTTTAGTTCTCTTTTCAAGCAGTGTTGTGTAATTTGGAAAGATCTCGAATTTGGGAGAACAGATAAACTTAGGGGGGAGAACATAAAATCTAGAATAGTCAATTTTGCAGTCAGCAATCATTTCTTAGCACAGCTATCATATTTTATTACACCTTACATACATATATGTGTGTAATGAAAAAAATAGAAAAGGATGTAGAAAATGTTGATGGTGTAGAACATAGATCCATACTGAACAGGAAGAATTCCGACTGCATAGAATGCTAAAATGTTGAATCCATAATGAACAGCAAAGTGTGGCAGCCGAGTAAGATTAAATCTTCATTTTTATTTCAGTTGACATTTGTGACCACAATTTACTTGTCACTCTAATTGTGCCTATTCAAGAATATTTACATTTTTGAATACCATTGCAATAGAAAGAAAAGCAGCATGCCAGTGTCTGAATAGCGAGACAGCTAGAAGCTAATTACACAATTATCCAATATGAAGGCTCACCAAGAGAAAGATTTTGGTTTAGATTAGAAAGGTTTCAGTTCTCAAAATTTTGAATTTAGGTTCTGAATTAGTCATGGGATCAATGTTACGCAAGCATGTGACATAGATTAATCTAGAAATAGTGCAGCTATAAAAGTTATTACTACTTTTAGAATACAAAGAGGAAATATCCAAATTAAAAAAGAGGAATTATGAAGCTATTACTAAATTAAATTATAAAGCTGATTTATATATTCTTTATCTTACACATACACACACACACACATATATATATATATAACATATAGCATAAAAAACTATGTGAAAGATAAATTACAATGTAAATCAGCAATAACATCTTAATGCTAATATTAAATTTATTTCTCCTCTCTATTGTAAAAATAGTAATCTCTTTCTGCATTGCATCATTTTGAGACTAATCCGTGTCACATGACTAATATAACATTGATGATGTAAATGGAACTAAAACAGCGAATAATAATTTCACAGCAGTATTAATTATCCAATCAAAATGCACAGAGAACCAAAACTAACTCAATCTACATCTTGGACCTATCGTATTTGCTTTCTACACTTAGCTAGATGGACTGTTGCCTGATGCTCTCTTCTTACAGCAAAGCTATGAAAATGTAAACATTTTGAAACAAACACAAGTAGTGTGCCAAGTTGTTTATGACCGCAATAAGTTTATTGAAATAAAAAAGAAGAATTAATCAAAGCCTTGGCTGCCAGTTTCCTATTCATTATGGATTGACACCATCAGAATTCGTGCTGTTCATTACCACCTAAGTTTGCTTCATTACAATGAGAGTCAGCTTCATTACAATGAATGCAATACTATATTTCCCCATCTGTGTCATTAATGTTTCTGTGCCATTAATGGTCTACATTTTAAGTCCTGCTCTCATTACATATATGTAATATATAACAAAATGCAATTGCTGCTTTAAAAATAATTGGTGACCTCAAAATGAACCATTCTAGATTTGGTGCTCTTCCCCTAAATTCATCTGTTCTCCCAAATTCAAGATCCTTCCATGTTGCATAAAAACCTAAAATTAACCAATCACAGATTAGCTGTACTTATGCATCAGACTTAGTATAAATACTCTTGGCACAATAACAATGTCATTTCTCCCTTCGCTAAATTCTGCCCTGCCAAAACCGCACTGCTTTACGTTGCTTAAATGCTTACGTCTTACCTTTAAAACCAGTGTATATAGAAAGTTATTGTATTTGATTATGATTGGATAAATGTCTATTAAGATGGTCTTATAAGCGTGAAAATAAAGATTGGGACTTCTTCAAAATTCATTTTTGTCAGCATCATCTTTTCATCTTTCCACTCAGCCATCTAAGACTGTAAGCTATTACAGTATCCGATCTCTCCTACGCATTAAATTATCCTACATATATTATTTACATTGGAAATTTAAAAAATTATGATGAAAAACATTCACCTGAGTTTTCTAAGTTCAAGATTCGCAATATTTACACCATCTATGAAAACAGCACCTTCAAAATTATTAACCATCCTACTCAGCACTTGAATTAAACTAGATTTCCCAGATCCTGTTCGTCCTACAATTCCTAATTTTTCACATGGTCTTGTTTCAAATGATATATTTTTCAGAGAATATGGACTAGCATTTCTGTAGCACAAGCTAACATTCACAAATGTTATCACACCATGTGCGGGCCATGCAAAAGGTGGCTGAAAACAAAATTGCAAATAGAGTTATGGTCTTGTTGTTAGTTCAACAAAATCATATTTTTAAAACACTATATTTATAATCAGTTGAAATTCAATTACAGAATGGCATCAATTTTAAAACATGCATAGATCACTTCTCTAAAATTAATGTCGGTCCAATTGAAATTTGGTTAGATTTAAAGTTTGCATTATTTTAAATATATATTACTTGATTTATAGTATAATCTTTAATTATACCATTTGAAAGTAATCAGTTGATTCAGTTTGTATCATTTCAATATACTGCATTACTCTCTCAACACTAACTATTTCTTTCTCAGTTTCAGTAAATGCTGTTATTGAACCATTCAACAATGATGTAATTGAAAGTGCATAGGATAATGCAAGTCCAACTAATCCTGAAATAAAAAATTATGAAATGTTATGGCTTTATAAAACACATACAGAAACATACATAGCAAGATAATTTTATCATTACAAAAATTGACAAAGCCAGCAACAATTATAGTGTTATATGAAAAAAGTTTTACTTCAACCTTCTGCATAAAGAACTAAATAGTAATTGCACTTACCAAAAAATTACTGCCAGCACTAAAATTCTTCTCAATAAATTTAACGCACTACATAAAAGACTCAAGATACATCCCCGGAAATATAATAACAGATTTGCAAATCTCTATGCGCTACCAAAATTTCATAAGTCCCCTATTAAATTCAGGTTCATTGCCAATAGTACCAAAAGTTATCTTAAAGAAATAGATTTTCTTTTTGCAAAAAAACTTCGTTTAATACGTGACTAATTAATAACTATGATTTTAAGGATCTAACATTGCAACTGGATGATTTCAACTGGATGATTTCAAGCTAGTTATCAAGACAATTAATTCACTTAAAATAGACCATATAGAATGCTACGATTTCAAAAACCTCTATACTACCTTACCACTTGAAGAAATATATACAAGTTTACTTGCTCTACCGGATATAATTCCACAGATTTCGACAATAATAAATACCGAAAAATGGCAACTTTTTCTTTCAAGCGTGCTTTTCAATAATTTTATTCAATTTAACAATAGCATCTTTAAACAAATTCAAGGAATTCCAATGGGAGGTAATTTTTCCAGTGCTGTATGTGAATTATTCCTTTTTACAAAAGAATTGACCTTTGTCCGTTCACTAAGTAAAGAAGAACATAAATTTCACCAACACATCTATCGTTACATTGATAATATCATTGCCTTTAACAACCACAACAAAATAGAAGCTGCTAATATCTACCCAACTTGCTTAAAACTAAATAGTACAAATACGAAGCAAAATAATGTAGTCTACCTTGACTTAAATATTATTAATTACAATTTTATTAATTACAATTTTATTATTTATTTATTATTTTACAAGAGGAGAGAATTCACTTTTTCTACGCTAAAGTTAACCAACTGGAATTCTAATATTTTCAAAAGAATCATCATTAACACAATTTTTTCACAGCTACTTAGAATAAAAAGAATATGTAATACTACAGAACACTTTCAAGAAGAAATACAGTCAAAAGTCGTTAATCCGGACTCGCCGGGACTTCGGCGATTTCGGATTATCGATTTTTCCGAATTATAGATCATCAGTTTAAATCTGGTAATATGGCATGCAGAAATTATAAAATTATAAATATGAAACCATAATTTATGAAATAAAGAACAATTATAATCTAAAGGGTATCAAAATTTACAAAAAAAAAGCTTAATATTTATTTGTTTACGTTATTAAACATTTCTTTCAATGTACGTTGTTTGCTTCGTTTTATGTGATAATACTTTCTCTTTAATTTTATAAACAGACATAATTTCTTGTTCAGTTACAAACTTCCACTGTTCAAATCCTGTAATTGCTGCGTCGAGAATACCGACTTACTTGTCAAACGAAATTTTTTCGTTTTCAATAACCTCTCTGTCACTTTCTTCACTATCGCAAGCAAATTATAATGACGAGGAATTTGATTTAAATCAAAGTCGGAATACATCGAGATGAATACATTAAGGAAATTATAAGCCAAATAAAATGAAAACATCTGCCCTGAAGATAAGGATAGTGCTGACTGATCAACTTCGAATTTATTGGGTGCCACCGTTGAAAACATCTGCCCTGAAGATACCGATAGTGCTGACAAATCAACTTCCAATTCATGCCCCGTTCCCCCAAAGCAGTGTGAAATTGATAAACAGATTTCGGAATGGTTAGGTCATTTTTTGCAGCAATTTCACTTTTGTTTAATGGACTTCGACACATACTTTCGCTTTGGTAGATCCTTTACATATTAGTAAATATATATTGGAAATTCTATTTGGCATAATCGAAAGTTCAAGCTTACTTTTATAAAATTGCTCTAACAGTCTGCAAAAAATAATAAGCCGGATTGAATTCGAAGATTACGGAACAACGCAATCTGCAATATTAACTGAATTAGATAATTTTAGCTTAGCTTATACCGTCCTTTATACATTAAATGCGCATGCGTAAATGCATTTTGCACACGCATATTCGCAGCCGTAAAGGTCTTACGCGCATGCGTCAACGCTACACATGCGCAGAAAGTTTGTAGCTTTGAGGTCCGGATTATAGATCATTCCGGATTATGGGTGTCCGAATTAACGACTTTTGACTGTACTTTACTTCGTCACAATTTTGAAAAATAACCAAATTCCTCATAAAATAACTAAAAATACCTTAATAAAAAGCTGGCATTAGCCTTACCAATTTTTAGATAATTTGTTTTGGATAATGAAATTTTATACTTAAAGCCCAATGGGACGGTATAAAGTGGATGGCTGATTCAGATAATCTAATGTAAAAATGTACAGATTATTCTCGTCACTACATTTTCTTTCCTCCAAAGATTTTGGCACTATACTTTAATACTATAGTTTTAATAGTTTTGAATTACTTAGATGGCCAAATTCTATTATTATTAACAAATCGGGCCTTTTCATTTTTCATTGTAGCTTGACTGCCCTCTAGCTTGAAGAACGACGACTTTTATTAACAAATGACTTTTTTCCATTTTACTCTTTCTTTTGTGTCCAAGATAAGTAATCTTAGCTGGATTAGCCATTTTCACCTTTTTGAAGTTGTTTTGTTCTTCTAACAACTTGACTGACGCCATTTTGAATTCTTTCCATGTCTTTTCGAGTCTCTCAAACCCTCTTTAGCAAAGGGGGGGGATAAGAGTTCCCGCCAAAATTACAATCTAATCGCATTGGCCGATACGGAATAGCATTGTTTCACCCGCCTACGTCACACGACGAGAGGGATGGCTTAGTAGGACATGGAGGGGATTACGCCCTTTTCAAATCTGTTTCGCGATCCAGAGGTCGGCACGGCTACAGGTCTGTTTTTTAAGTTTCTTTTGTTTTATTTGTTTTGTTTTATGTATTTCTTAAATTCTTTTTCTTGGTCCTAACAAGACCCATGGAAGTTGTTTTCATGCGTGTTTAATTTCATTTTAATTTGATTACAGTACCATAATCTTTATAAAGGTTTTATTCTTCTTTAAGCTAGCAGGACCAGCCCGTACGTTATTGTAATTTTTGACTAATAGCAGACCGCTATTTTATTTTGATTTTAATTTTGTTTTGCTCGGAGTTGCATTTACTTTTTCTTACACCTTAATGTGTTTTTCTGCAGACGCGTTGGGAAATTGGAACAGAGAATTGAAGCTCCAAAAAGATTTTTTTTGGGACAATTCATATTTTTAAAAAATTTTTTTGTCAAACGAGAGCTTCTATTGTCTGTTTCGGCAAAACGCGTAATGGTATTTGGCCTGGTTCGACATTCAACTATTTTTCCCTTGAAAAGCCTGGTTGAGGGTCCAATTGGGCTAAATTACCATTTTCCGCTTTGTAATTTTTATAATTTTTGTAATTTTGCAATTTATGTTTTAATTATAATTTTTGCAATTTATGTTTTAATTATTTTTTAATTTTATTTTGTTTTAACTTGTTCCGTCGATCTATTTTAATTTTTACTTATATTAAGTTTTCACATATCTCAACGATCAGATTAGTTTATTCATGCATTCACATGTTTTCTAACATTGATTTTAACAGTTTTATTTCGTGTGTAAGCTGTTTTTTCATTTTTCCATGTTAATAATTTTTTAAAAAATTTCTACTATGTTAATATTTTAGTAATACTGCGTTGAACTATTTCATGGAGCTACAGCTCCTGGTAACTTTTTAGCAAGCTCGCTACACTATTTCTTCCTATTATTTCATATTTTTACAGCATTTTGCGCAAAAAATTTTTAAGACCAAATAGGTCTTACGTCACATTACTTGTTAGCTTTTCAATTTCTATTTCGGTTATATATATATATATATTATATATAATAATTTATTTACTAAATCAAGTTGATTATATTATCTCCTAAGATAAAAAACTTTAAACATATTACATAAATGTTTTAAGATAGATATAACTATTTCACCTAATAAAGCACAAAAATGTTTATATCATTGTAAGCATTTTTAACATTTTCTCCACACAGGTCCACTACAGATTTTTAAAAATATTTTTAGAGATGTGCAACTTTTTTGGTTAACTGATTCCAAAATTTTGATAGCAATAGTTGTATCTTTAGTATTTTTCTTTCATTTCTTTCACAAAGAATTTTTTCCAGGTTTCTTCATCAAAATAATATCAAAACTAAGCAAGCAAAAGTGAAGATAAATTAATAAAAATTCCCACTTCAAATCTATTCCAAGAACTTTAAATCAGATCGAAAAATCATGTGAAAATATTTTACTTCAGTGTCACAAATTACATATTAGAGTGTAATCAGTGAATTAAATTTGCTAAGAACAACTTATTAGCATGGTAGATACATACTTAAACACATTGTTCTAAATACTCAAAAACCATTCTCCAGCTCTTCAAAGACTGTTTCATAAGTTTTCTAATTGTCAGATGACCTTTTCATTTTCTTTTCTTCTATTAATATTCATTTGAAAAGATTATTTTTTATTATCAAAGCATGTTAATAAAACTTAACTTAGGATGTTACATTAAGCAATAGTAATTTTTTTACCATTGACACGATTTTTTAGGTAATGAAGTTTAATGTATTCCAATCTTCTGAACTAACTGATGTTGGAAGAGAAGGAGGTACAGAAAAACCATTTACATGGTCGTTTATGTAATGGAGATTAATATATAGCAATCTCCTGAACGAACTGAAGTTATATATTATAATAAGGTAGAGGGGAAGGTAGAGAAAAAATATAAAACAATATTAAATAGTATAAATAGCAGAATTCAGACTATGTTTTATTATATGAATTTATTATAAAACAGAAATTTTTATAAGAATAGTTAATGAGTTATTTAAGCTTTAAAATTTATAAAACTGCCTCAAATATGAAGATTTCCACATGGCCTTGTTCACAAGTTAAACATACATATATCTAAAAAAAGACTCTAAATTCGTTTCACTCAAAATGCATAACTCATTTTGATGAAATCAAGTCAGTCTAAGGTTGAATTTTATTTATGCACTCAACATTTGTATGCTTCTCTTTAATAAATGCACATTAAAAATATTCACAAATTTGAAGTCAATGCAGAAAATTATACTTTTTATTTCAAATAATTTGGCAATATTAATATTGGTTTGAATATCAGTAACTTTTTTTTTTTGTCACTGAATTCAGTGACATGAGAACTTATACCCAAGGTTCATCACGATTTTTTTTTATTTTTAATATCTCCATTCAACATAACTAAATGGGAAACTTAATGATAACTACAGAAAAGAATTTACCATGCAAAATCAATACCAAGACAAGGGGAAGAATTTCTGAAAATATATCTGCATAAAGGTACTAATAAAATGACTTTATAGATTTAAAAAAGTTGCATTAACACCCTTTACTCATTTTTGAGCACGTAACAATTATATATTATAATAAATAACATGAATAGTCATGTTCCAAAAATAAACCTAGCATATACTAAACTTCAAGAAACATATTTTGCTGGAAAATGTTTAACATTTCTATATTTTGAATATATATCACTAGAACTTTGAGTCAGATGATTCTTGGATGTGGACAGACTTTGCTCAGCATCAACAAAAAACAACAAAGCATATCATGTAAGAATACAAAAAGAGAGTCTATTCAAAGATGCAAAAGCTCATACTGAGCCGTTTCTTAAATATAACTGAATTTTGGAATATCCATTAAAGTTATCCTTCATGATTTTTAAAATTCTTCCACTGCTCTTCCTCTTCCCAACCTTTTTCCAACTCCAAACCACATTAAGCAAATTTTTGTAGCCATGCACTAGAAAAATTTCAAGCTTTAGGTCTCTCTTACTAAGCATTTGCTAAGTATGTTGAAAGGTCGATGTTTTCATGAACCTGGGGTAGTTATGAAGAATTCGATGTCTTCAAAGTTTTTACAAGAAAACTGCACATCTGATCAATGCACCCCCATCTGGTTACAACGAAGCATTCTATTAGGGGTTTCTACAGACTTCTTAGTATATCAGTCTATGACTCGGCTCTTTAGGGGATATTCCTCAAAGTAGCAATTAAGTCATTTACTTTACTGCATTGCCATATTTTTATTCATTGAATTTTTTTCTTTGAGTGTTTGTTCTCATCCAGTACTGATTTTTGCATATGTTCTTCAAGGAATGATTTGAATGTAAGATTTTTTGCCTTTTATATTGAAATTCCTAGTCAGAGTAATGGTAGGGTAAGATCTGCTACGAAGTTACTGGATGACTGCTGTGTTTCACCTCCCACAATACAGGTGTACATGCCTAGGTTTTTATACTTCAATTGCAAATCTTCTTATGATAGCAAAGAAGTTGTTTAATCTTTATTGTATTCCTCTCTGATACCCTCACAAACCTGATATAGTCCATATGCAAAACATGTTACATCGTTGAGGTTTGGATACATGTCCTTCAGATGTTAGCAGCAAGCTAAAATCATACAGCAAGCTCAATAATTTATCCTAAGCCTAAGCTCAAACAATTTATCCTAAGCTCAATAATTTATCCTAAGCCTGACATTTCGTACTGTAGGCTTTCCAGCCACAACTTCACACAAAAATCAATGAATGATTCATTATTGTGCAGTATTATTTCTACAGTAATGCAGTCATTTAATGGTTAATTGATGGTTGACTGAATATGGCAAAGTGGCTGAGGCCTATCTGCCAAGGGGAAAAAAATGTCTTTGTTGAGGACTTTTTATGGGAAATTGTGTCGTATTCTCGTTACACACAAGGAAAACAACAGAAACCAGCAATGCCATTCACCTGTACAACAGCTCATTCACATAGGCTCAAACTTGGATGCCTATTCTACAGCATGAGAGTCATCATCTGCAGTTTATTGGCTGCCAGATATCACTAGTAGTGAAAACCAACTTTAGTCAACACTGCATATTCTGAGAGTATGGAATTGGTTGAAAACACAGCGAAAATGGTTGCAGCATCATCAATTAGGCTTGTGCAAGTTGGCTGTAAAAGTTGATTGCAGCTCTGTATATGTTTTCACCACTATTTTTTTTTTCATATATAAACAAAGAATATAGTGGCAGATCTCTAAATCGGCATCGAATTTTTTGAAAACATGAGAATTCATTTGTTCTTCATGAAAATGTCTTTATTGCATACTTTAGACTGCCAAAACTTATTGTCATAATAATATATGCTGAACTGAGAGAGTATCTGAAGTCACGCTCAGAAAATAGGAATGTACTGAAAGAAAGAAAGGCTCTTTAAATTTTTTTCTATCACATAAAATAAAACATGTATATATATATATATATATATATATATATTTCCTTTTATAATGTAAGAGAGTATATTTTTCCAGTTTACCACTGCAAAGTATTTTTCTAACACACATTTTTTATCAATTAAACATTGGAGAAGTCTCTAACTAATTTATGTTCAATAAGCATTCAGTTAATTTTAAGCTATAACAGTCAAATACCTTCTGAACAATATTGTGAACTCAATAAGTAATATCTTTCAGATATTTATCTTTAAATTAATAGCAAAATTCACATTCCTGTAGTACTATATACGTATATATATATTAACAGGATTACAAAGCTATAAAATGTAAAATGTTTGTAACTATTGTGCTTTTACAAATTATTATTATTTTTTTTTGTATCATCATTACAATTTTAAACTAATTATCGAGAGCTAATATATTTTATTTAAAATAAAATGTTAATATCACAAGTTTTAATTAAAAAGCTCTTTATAATTCTTGTGGAGGGTTTTTCTCTTTATATTTTTTCTAGGGGGAGGAAAAATAATGAATCTGTTTAAAAGATACAGTGACCATATTTCACTATGTTCATGGATCACAATGTGAATAAGTGTTCTGTTTCTTTCAAATTGATTCATTACTTATTACTAATAAATTATTAAATGACTAAAATTTTTTAACAGTTAGAGAGGCATGAGTTTTAAAAATGGACTGTGATCATTTGACACATAATAAATGAGACTTACTAATAGTAATGAATTATAGAAATATCAGTAGATTTCAAACTTTGTTATTTAATTTGAAATGATATCTGTCTACAAAATATTTTTTAGATAATTTATAACTGTATAATTTATTTTTAGGTACTCAGATTTTTTTAGTAAAATAATTTATAAGTTACTATGAGTATTATTATATTAAATTGTAACAATATTATAAAACTGAGGGTTTCTTCATGAAATACACGGAATCGAATAATCTATTAGTATTAAAAAATAATAATTGTTTATCTGCAGACTGAAAAAAAAAAAAAAAAAAACTACAAGATTTAACTGTTTATAGCATACTTTACCAATTTTATATTGTAAAAGAGATGCTGTTTGTTATTTCAATTTTCTGTTATATTGTTAGATGTATAGATACAGACATGCACGTACATATGACATTTTAATATGTCAGAATAATAAAACACTGGTCATGCATTTATCCTCTTTTGCAAAAGTTCTGATTTTCCCATACTTTGGAATATGATTTGACAATCATATAAGTAAATAATATGTGAATTTATATGTTGGTGCCATTCTAATCACTTGCATAACCAGAGAAAAATTTGGTATAATTTTGCAACCATTTATTGGTTAGATAACATTTTTGCTTTGAAAATAAAGTGGCTTAGTTTTTCTCCAACTGATAATTTAAATTAGCTCTAATACTATATACGTATTAATTCAAATTAGCTTTACAGAAAGATGTATCTTTTTTTAAAGGTTCTGTACCTTAAAATCCTCTCCCTAATAACAACTTAGTAACATATAAGAATTATTCCTAATGATAACTTAATAATACATAAGAATGACTACATTATGGACACAGAAGTATTTCTGTGCAAGTATTTTGTAATATTCACCAATCCGTTAGAAGTTTCTACAAATCATATAGAAATAACATTAGCATTAATATTATGTATTCCATTTATGCAAAAGATACAATATTAAAATTCAATGACTTAAGTAAAAATCTATCACATAAAATTTAAAAAAAAAAAAAAAAAAAAAAAAAAAAAAAAAAAAATCAAGGAAAAAAAACATTTTTTTTAATAAAACTTCTTTAAAAATATAAAAGTTTTACAATACCTGCATCAACTTCACTAAACTCCTTTTGAATAAGAGCAACTGCAGCAACACCTGTAACTACAATTACACCAATAAACTGTAATCTCAGATTTAACCACTGTGATGCAGCTGAAGTTGAAAGTGCAGCTCTCAAATTAGCATCTATCCGATCCATATTTTCTTTCTGAAATCTTTCAGTAATAAATTAATTTTTGAAAGTACAGTCTATTTTGAAAGCTGTGTAACAATGCTTTTTTTAATAAATGTACATATAATAACCAGAATAAAAAATCTATTAAAAACATCACAGCTAGAAAGAAGACAAATGGTTTTTTTAAATGGATAACAAAGATTTTATAAACAACAAAATTAAAAGAATTTCTTAATTTAATTTTTATGATGATGTTATGATAAAATACTCTTTACACATGAATGTGATTAATTTATTGCTGATAAGTCTCAATGAGATATCAGCGATAAAAATTGTTTACTAGCAAGGAATCTTTCTCCTTCATTGGCATTTTCTTCTGCATTCTTTCTTCTGTTTGAAATATTGCTATTACTGAACACTTCATACATCAAACATGAAATGATGTAAACACAGGCAACATTACGTCAAATATAAAGGATAAAAATTGCAGTCACATAAATAGAATGGAATAAATGTAAAAGAAAATGAAAGCTCAAAATCAAAAGGCATATACTTTTTAAAATCACAAGTAAACTAGTGCAATTTACTACAACAAGGACTTTTATGAGTTGGGGGAGATACAGTATCTAATAAACTATTTAATATTGAAACATTACATGTTAAACACATTTCAACTTCAATAACTGTATGTGAATTTAGATGAAAAGGCATGCAGACACATATACGTATTATATTTTTACCTGGAAATTTTCATGTTTAATCATATTTCAAAAACAAAAGTAATGTTTATATATTATACTGAAATTTGCTCATGCTTGTATTATTTACATTACAAATGCCTCATCTTAAAAAAATGAAAGAAGTTACAGAAATATCATTCTGAAAATTTTGCTTTTATCACACAATACACAGCTTTCAGACTGCAGATTTAAGCTACCCTATCATTAACATTTAATGTTCTGTTTTCATTAAATTCAAAGATATTGCCCATTTTGAAATGCATATGTTAGTGTGAAAGACCAAAATTGGAGAATGTCAACACATACCAAATATGTTGGTGAAAGACCGAATATTTGGTTACATTCTTATATATTCACAGCATCACCAGTGTATGTCAACAAGCACATATATGCTCTTGTGGAGGCTGAAATGAGAAACTGAGAAGACAGAGTTGTAAAAGCAAGGGACTCAAGTGCAATTCAAAGTGTCATAATAGTTAATCAATAAATAAGACTGCATAACATCGGTCACATAATTAAGTTTATTATTGGTGTTATTTTCTTTTCCCATTTAAAATGTTATCCATCAATTTCAATTAATCAATCATGAAGGTAAACTGTTCATTTTAAGTTCAACAGTTGATTTACATGTGCTGTTTACTTAAGCTTCTCCTATTTGGACATATATCATAATATGTTTTAATAATAAAGTACCTTTAAAAAACATAACAAAAATATTTTTATTTAACATTCACCATCAGTGCATGGTGATTGTCAACATTTGCTGGTTAAGTGAGAAAAAAGGATATTTAGACATACACAACCATTAGACTTCAGACATACACCAAGCCACTATGTGAATGTTGACATTTCCTGGATTCCAGATTCCAGTCTTTCACAGTAACACATACGACTGTGCTTTATTTACAATTTTTGATGATCCAAAATGAGCTTTTGAATATTATCGAGATAATCATTTCACTAGTTATAAAGCTCACACTGAATAATAATGAGAAGTAGCATAATAAATTACAGCAGTCCAAACATTCTGAGTACAGTAATCCTGATCACTGGCATGTAAGAATAAGATACATGTTCCATTGCTAATGTGCGCTTAAAGAAAAAAGCATCAATTTTATTATTTTGCCAACCCCTGAAACTTTAAAATAACAGTTCATTTTCACTGTCATGTGAATACTTCAGCATTAGACTGAAATGTCAGAAAGTTTTATTTTTGCACTGAAGAGTGAGAGAGAATATATCATAAATATATATGGACATTTAATAAATCTTATTTAATGTTAACATGGTCTTCCTGAGCCTTGTTTATTAATTAAATTTTATCACATGTATGCATATTAAATGAATCACACATCACTTCAGTGTCTGAAAATTATTCCAGATTTCACATTTTCATGATAGCCTTACCTCGATGAAGCAGCGAAAGCTCTAATTGTAGAATGTCCACTTAATGTTTCAGAAAAATGAGCATATATAGGAGACAAACTGATGCTTGAAAGTCGTTTCAGCTCTCTTGATGTATACCTATAACTACGCTGAAATAAAATTTTCATGCTGCAAATTACTTATCTTATTATCTTTACCTAAATCTCATTGCAGATGCACTTATGCAAATTAAACAGTAAGAAGTCCTTTAACTACATTTAATATTAAAGAATTAAATTTTCTATTATATGACATGTCATAAAACTGTTAATTAATAAATGGACTCTATTTTTGAATTTTATAATTATTAGTTCAACTAATAATACATGTAAAATCTGGATGAAAAAAATTTGCTAAATAGATAATGATTGATATAGGCTAATAGATAAAACAATATTATAAATAAGAAATTACAGGGGCATATATTTTGTTCATACTTTAATAACTACAGATATTACAGAAGTTAATTTGTTATTTCTTTCTGTACATTATTATTAGAATTATGCTTTATTCCATAAAATGTATAACATTCTGACTTGCTTTAGTATATTCCAAAATGTTCACAAAACATTAAAGATTAAATAGACAACCAAATTAATTAAAAAATTTATTTATTTTAACAATTAAAATTTCGAGTATTAAATGATGAAATATAAAATTAATGAAATATAAAAATTTCTCAAAATAAATCAATCATTGAAAAATAGGATCATGCATTCATCTGTACATATAACAATAAAGGCAACATAATTTTAACTTCTTTCATTTCAGAAATCAAAACCATAAACATGTACTATTAGTTATTCCATACCTGTATTCTGTAATAGATTACAGTTAAGAACAAAATCAACAATATAATCCATGGAAGACCATAGCAAGTAATAACAACACATCCAATTAGTGCAAATACTTGTGCAAGAAGTATATTCAAAACAAATGGAAGAGAATCGTCTATGCAATAAACATCAGACGAAAACCTATTCATAATTCTTCCAAGAGGAGTCACATCAAAGAAGTCAGAGGTAGCCTAAGTTAGAAATAAAATTTTATATATACAAAATTACTTTTTTAATACCAAATAATTTATAACTTCACATTAACAAATGTAAATAAATTACATGAAACTTAAAATTTTATAAAGAAATTTTTGTATAGTCTGAAAAATTATAAAATATTTCTTATTTTTCTAACTAAATCAACTAAATAAAGCAAAATTTCACATTCTCCTATTATAAAATTACCTTTAAAACATTTTTGACTAATCGATCATGAAGGTATACAGCAGCTTGAATACCAGCTTTAGCAAATAAGAATGCTCGGAATAATGTAAATACACTGTTTGTAGCAGCCAATGCTCCATATACAGATAAGTAAAAGGAAAGATAATTTTTCTGCTTACTATTACCATCAAGTGGCTGCCTAAAAAATGAAATATCAAATCATAAATATTTATATATATAAACATCCATCATAAATATTTATATATATATAAACATCCAAATATATAAATATCCAAGGCTAAATATTTATTCTAATTCCTAGTTCAGAGTAATATTTTTTAAATTACAAAAGGTCAATCTGCTTAGTAATTCTATAATTAAAAATTACAAAAAATAAGGAAAGTTAGAAAGGACAGGAAAAAATGCAGAGAAAGATAAACAAAGAACTATGTCAACTATTTATATTTCTACACTCTCCAGTATTGGTCTGTAACATACGAATGCTGCTACCACTGACAAAGTTTAATTTCCTTTATGCAATGCTTAACAAAGGTGGGAACCATAATATGAGAGCAAGAACTTAAGATTTTAGAATTTCATAATGCCTGAAAGAGCAACTTTGAGCAAGCAAAATTTCAGTTTTGGTATTCTGAATCTGATTTAACTGAATTTTCCCAATAACACTGGCTCTAAAGAATGACAAATGCTATATAATTCCTTTTGGGCATTGTTTTGAAATTAATAAGGTAGTAAGAAAATATGGATTTAAAGTGAAATGATTTTCAAGCCATGTTATGACTTTCAACAAGGTTTGATTCAACAACGTGTTTATTAACTTTTGGGAGGAAAGCACCAAAGCAACGATTAATAATTGTTTATGGAATTTAGTCATAGATGTAGAATTCTGAGTCATAATAACTGAGAACTGTGATGACATTAGAATGATATGCAATATACAATCTCTTCATATTCATCCTGTCACATGTAATGAAAGTGAGGCACCTTTAAACATTTCAATGACTTAAGTTTTTTCAGTTTTAGATTATCATTTTAAGCAGTCGGTATTGATGCAAGGGATCGATTAAATTTTAAAGGAGGTCAATGATGATCAAGGGGTTGATTGGGGGTCAACAGCTAAATATGCATCACAAATGGTGGTGTATTTAATTATGGCAAAGCACACTAGGGCTATCTGCCTAAGGGGAGGGATGCCTTCGTGGAGGACTTTCTAAGTGCATCGCAAATGATTGCCATAATAAAGATCCTATTAATTACCAAAAACATTTTAATAAGATTGATAATTAATTGTTTATTGATATAAAGTTATATATCAAAGCAATAAATACTACTAAAGCTAAAGCTTTGACTGTCTTTTTGTGCAACTGTGTGACTACAATGATAAAAGTTACAACAGTTTGTTTCTTCTTAAAAAGGTATGTTGCCTAAGCAAGGGTAGCTGTTTGCAGCAATCCATAGATATTTTTAATACAGTGACAGAATTTCTCCTCCAAGTTGGTAATCCTATATGGACACAATTAATAAAATTCAACAAAAATATTTTCTATTTGGTTGATATATATTCATTAAATGTAACTACAACGAAGAGTTCGATCTCTTTGAAGTTAGAATAATTATTATTGTTTCTCATTTTAAAAACTGATTTGCATATATTGACACCAAACCAAAAACAATTTCTTTACTTTGATTACTTAATGTTATTACACATTACTCAGCAGACTGCATTTCACCAGAAGATATACTGTATACATAAACCACTTGCAAAATTTAAAAGACTTTAATGTCACTTCCACGACATTGAAAACCTGAATGCACAAGCATAGCTCATAGGCGCAGAACTGTGACATATATAATGTTGATAATATGATGCAAGAACTGATTGCCTTTAAGGAGGATGTTCAAACGCAAGTCTTATTCAAAACACATGAGTATGCTAAGTTAGGAATGTAAGAATCATTCAAGAGAAATATTCCAAAACAAAAGCTGTTAGGTAACCAACATTACTGACACTATTACTGGCCAGCATTGTTGATACATTATTGACAACCCTCTTCTTATTTAGTGGGGCAGCTAAGCCAGTAATTTACAATGGAAAACAGGAAACAGATTGAATATTTTGAAATGAGATAATTTAAAAAATTAAGTAAAGTAATTCTATGCCAAATATTTAAAAAATTGCATCAATATGTCAAGCACAGCCATCTCATTAATTAAATTCATGCAATCAGAATCTGTGATTTTGTTTCTGAAAACTTTTTTAATTTGTAAAATTTATGATAAGACAAAAAATAATAAAACATAAATCTAATAAACCATTTTTCTTAGCCTAGTTGTTTTCTTTCAGCTGCACATGTGATGTGTAATTATTAGTATTATGATTATGTTGTATGGCAGTGATCTCAAGCTCAAAATCCATGCAGGCCAAGTGCCTGATCTGAAAGCAGCTATTGGGTCAGTTACTATTTTTTTCTTTTAACAAAATGAGAAGTTGAAAAATTTTTTTAATTAAGTCTTAAATTTTATTTACTAAATATTTATCATAACATACCTAAACAGTAATAATAAATGAAGCAAAGAAAAAAATTCAAATTTATATTTATTTTATGTCTGAATAATCATTGAAGACCATCAAAAGGTTAACAGGTACTCTTTATCAAATAAAGTACAAAATGTTGGGAAATTCTATGCATTATTTTGAAGACAGAACTGTTTACTGCATTAAGTCCTGGGTTTCATTTTGAGGAAAAGGTTCAATTACTGCTGATTTCAGTTACAGAAAATGGAACACAATCATGAACAGATACTGGTCTTGCAGCTTTTCTTACTTGTGGTTAGGATGGAAAGTGATTGAACATTTGCTACCCAATCAAACTACTGAGACTTAGAAAGAAAAGAAAAAGTATTACAACTTAGACTCCAAGGAAAAAAAAGTATTACAACATCATGATAATACTCATCCCAATTCTACTGAATACATAAAAGGTATATCACACTGAAATTTGAGTTATCGAAGTCACCACACAGTCAGGGGTTGGCACTATCTAATTTTCATTAGTTTGCACCTAGGAACAAATATTTATGGGATCAGAAGTCTGTAGATGATAATGAGGTAACAGAAATGGTACACGATTCAGTAATGACCATGTCAATCCTCTCCAAAGGGTGGCTACAAGTTGTGAACAGGTAGATTGACAAAGTGGATTATGACAAAGGTTTTGCTGAAAAATAAAATACAATTTCTGTAAGAATTCTTGTAAAAATTTTATTAACAAATTCCTGTTACTTAATGTCCTTTCATGATCACTTTAAGAACAAACAAAACTTAACTATTTCACAGTTTATAATTTTATTCTAAGTTTCAAAACTTTTCTTTTTTCAGAGTGTAGGTTATATAATTTATGTTAATGTTTTTATTTTTAATTTCTTTTTCTACAAGAAAAACACAATTTTGTCAAATTCAAAGAAAGAATTTAATTTACTTTCATCAGCTTTTTCAAGCAGACATATGTCATCCAAATCTTATAATAATTATACGACGTAATGCTGTTCCCACACTAACATAACATTTTTTTAAATTATGCTCATGATTAAAGATACATTAGTATTTTAAATAATGTTTTAAAATTTTTCACAGTCTAAAATTCATTTCTATCACTAACACATGCAGTACATTTTAGTTGTTTTGGTAAATGTATTCATATATATTTTACATCCTGTTATGATTATTATTATTCACAATTCTTTTGACATTACAAATTTGGTTCAAAAACAAAATATTTTTTGTGGCAAAGTTTAAATATGACTAAAACTCCAAATGTGAACTATTATTCACACTATTATGCAAATATATGTAAACATTTAAAAAGGAAGTTTTAAACACACATGAATAATAATAAAAGTATTAAACTGAATGTCACTGAACATAAAATTTTCAATTATTAGGAACTCCATATCACACCAAATTCACTTTCATAAATGCATAATAGCACTTACAATATATACTGCATTTTGGCAGTTTTTGCAATTAAATTGTTAACACTACACTTACTGTCATCAACAGTAGTGGTAGATTTACCAGATGTAAAAGATATGAAATGGTAAAAAATTAGTCTATGAGATTATAATTTTTATATCATTCCATTTTCTTCTCACCCTACTTTGGTGTTATCAACAGAGGTTAGTAAAAACAGATTCAGAAATTTATGTTACTTACCTTGAAAGCGTATTATTTCCAGCGATATGTATACTTGATACCCAATAAGAAAGCCACCAATCAGAAGTCGTTCTAGAAGCTAAACAAATCAGAATGAAAAAAATTAACAAATATAATAAGACATGTGAATACATGCAGACAGATAAAGATATTCATTCTCTATGAAAAGAATTTCTTCTGCAATTTCTTAAATGAATAAAAAGAGAAACAGTATATTAAAAAAGGCAGATTTATTAAAAAAGGTGTATTTAAAAGGCAGATCTGGTATTAGGAAATGTTCACTCTTAAGACTTAAGACACATTACATACTTACGTATCATATGTAGTACATATTAACTTTGATAAATTCGTAATTATTCTAAGAATTATTATTTCGCAATGATAAGAATTTTAGTCTTATAATGACCTTTTTCAGTGTTCCAACAGTTTTTTTCATATCACCTATCTTAGCCTCTTAAATTCTCTCTCTTTCGCTACATACGTGTGTATACACCATATCAATAAAGTCCTTACTCAGACTTTATCTTTGCAACTCTTGGCTGTAGACACATACTTCTGTATACAAAAATGCTTTAAATGATATAAAGATTCATGTTTTCATATTTTTGAACTTAAAACATCTAATTTTGAATAAAATACGAAATCTAATATTTTATACATTTCCTCCGGTCATTTCACTTATACTAGAGAAAATATTTCAACAGTTATAAGAAATAAAACACAAAAAACTTGACTCCACAAAATTTAAATGAGATATTTAACTTCAAAATTTGCAATTTCTGACATCATTTTGATTTATTTCCATGGGGTTGGTTAAACAAATGACAATAGTTTGAGGTAGACTTTTTTTTAATTAAATGCTATTCAGTGATATTCTGCTGTGATTTACTAGTGTGTAATGTTCTTTTGTTTATAATTTTGTTATAAACTGATATGCTACAGGAATTTTCACTAAACACCATTAAAGTTTTGCAAGAAATACAAATTTCATGCCCAAAAAGGTGAAATTAACGAATAATCAACAGGTAATCATAGTTGGAAATTTAACTATAATTTTGACTTTGATTCTTCAAAAAGTATCCAGAAAGCTTCTTCCATCAATGAATTGGAATTTCTTGAAACTTTTCACATTCACAAAGATTTATCTTGTTTAGTTAAGGACTTTAATTCAAATCCAATCCTTCCTAATATAATTTTTCAACTTTCTTTACTATTTGTGCCAACAGATGGCACTACCTTCTTGTTGGCTTTACCCCTTTCTAGCATAAATACAACCATGGGTTTCTCTTCATTGCTGCAGACTTCTCCTTTTTGCAGAACCGCACTTTCTTCGTTGCTCAAGGAAATGAAAAATCCAATTCAAGACCTATAAAATCCAGCGTCCCACAAGGAAGTATTCTCGGGCCAGTGCTGTATCTTTTCTACATATCAAACTTTCCACACCCCGGTTTGGACAATTACTCTCTGTTAGCATGTTATGTCGATGACACGGCGACTTCTTTACTCTCATGAAGGGAGACCTGTACATGAGTGTCTTCGAAATCATCATTCTTGATTAAAATCTACATCAAACACAAGGTTTAATTTTATGTTTTACTTTAGTGCATTTTTCTTTTCTCTTAAATTAACGTTTTCCAATAATAAAATTATGTTGTATCTACAGCTACATCTGTCTGCAAATGTCATCCTTCTATCTATACAATAAAGACTCTCTAAGTTATTACAATGCAATAAACCTCTCCAATCCACTACAGCTATAGCCAAGATATTACATATATACATTGCTCATCAAAATTAAAGGATAGTGAGAAAAAATATGCTCACTAAGATAATGTTGCAACCAATGCCCAATGCTGTAATTATTTATGTTAATTAAATACAACTGAACACAAAATTGCACTCCCACATATTGTTAGTGCTGGAAATATGCAAATTTGGTGATTGGCAACAGTGGTGGCTCTTAGCTAAAATTAGTTGGGGTGTTGTACCAACAAAATTTAACCTTTGTTTTAAAATTGTGTAAAAAGAAAATTTATTTTGAAACTTCATGAAGTCTTACAAGGAAAAAATTAAACATTTCTTAATTACTTTAACCAAAATTATAACAGTTCAATCTTTGTCTATTCATTTAAAAATGAAATCCTTTCTTCTTGTTTTAATTTGTGTGAAATGATCAATAATTTTCTCCTTGATCTCTGGATGACAACTGAGGAAATTTTTCTATATTGAAAGCAATACAAGCGCATTAGTCTCCGAATTCCTAGTGCTTCTTAGAAAAGTTTTCATTCTTTTCAATGTTGAAAAACAGCATTCTGCCTCTGATGTAGTCTTGGGAATTCTCAAGAGAATTTTTATCAGTTTTGTAATTTCACTAAGAACATCATCTAGATTATTTTCGAAGATAAATTTCAGTAGCTCAATTAATTTGCAGTATTCACGGATATCAGACCTACGATAGAATACTTTTAGTTCAGTTTCAAGCTTTTCTTTGTCAATCATTGGATATGCTTCAGTGGTCAGTACTATTTCTTCTGTAGGATGTTCATTCCTAAAACTAAAGTAGCATTTCTTGTTAAACAATTTAGCAGCTGCTAAGTGTTTAGCGGAAGAATATCTGCGCATTATATCAATATTTCTTTAGCTTCTGCCATCAGTATCTTTGAAAAATTCTCACAGTACTTTGAGTTTCTTAATTCTAAAATACCAGTTTTGAAATGTGTTACATATTCATTAACTTTAAACACACTAATTTCTCTGGATTGCATTTAGTTGTATATTATTTCAACATGAGGCACAATCTGATAAAAAAAGCTCTAACCAAAACTTGAAATTATCGTCATTTAGATATTTTTAAATTCCTGTTGTTTTTGCAATAGTTTGATCTGCATTTGATGATGATTGAATTTCAGTAAGGCAACTTTTAAAGGTTGCCCATTTTCATGAACTCTGTTTATGGTGAAGTTCCACTTTGTGAAGGAATACCACACGCGCGAAGTAAAAACGAATCACCTTTTCAACAACACGCCAGAATTGCAGCACAGCAAGAGTGACAGTGCTCTTCACTCTACCTGGCTTGGGTGCTGTTTTCTGTGTGCGGATGCGCAGAACAGCCAAACATCACGTCGCTGGAACTGTGAAGCACGCAGTTCCAAACACAGACTTTTGTACCTTTTTCACAAACAGGGGAATGGCTACTGACGTTAAGCTTACGGATTATGTATTTTAAAAGTATAAAGAAAGAATTAAAGACTAAAGGGAACACTATATTAAATATTAAAAATAATAATAAGTGTAGATAGGGGTGCTGTTGTTCCACAGTGCTTATTACGAGTCAACACTGATTGGCAATGTAGTGTGCAATGGATGCATGTTGGAATTTTGGTTTGTGGTGTTGCTTTAAGTGAATGTGGTTTCTCAGAGTGATCAGTATTTAGCACTTATGGCTCAAAGGCATCATTTAAGCAAAGGTCAAGTGTGACAAATAATTGGTAGACTCGAGGGAAGTCCACAAATGGAGGTCATCCAAGATTTGAATATCCCTCAAAGTATAATATCAAGAGTTTGAAGACACTTTTTAAACACTAGATTAGTTGATAGTCAGCCTGATGAAGGCCTACCAAGAGCAACAACTGCATCAGAAGACCATTTCCTGTCGTTGCCAGCTCAAAGAAACTGCGAAGTGATTACAAGAGATTTGGTTTCAGACCTTAAGGCTACCACAGGAACTCAAATTAGCCACTCTACTGCTGCACAATGGCTTAATGAGGTTGGACTGTATGCAAGGAAACCAATGGTTTGTGTCCCACTCACTTCAGCTCCCAGAGGTGCCTGTTGAAAGTGGTGCTTTTGTCATGTTCAGTGGAGCCAAAAGTCTGGGCCACGAGTTAACGAGTCCAGATATAGTCTGAACAGCGATTCTAGACATGTTTTGATCTGGAGAGAGGTGGGAACACACAACTTGCCTTCCCTTGTCTGTGAAGTATTTTGTTTTAGTGACACGATATAATGGTTTGAGGAGGAATTATGACAAGTGGCTGCACTAAGCTGCATATCTTTCAAGGAAGTATAGTAAATGCTCAGAGATATGTGAATGAGGTATTGGAACCACAAGTTAGACTGTTTAGGAGTGCTGTTGGCTCAGAGTTTCTGCTAACTGATGACAATGCTCAGCCTCATCGAGCATATGTGATGTCAGAATACTTGCAAAAAGAAGATATCACTAGAATTGATTGACCACCTTACTCATCCAATGAATTTCAGCACATCAAATTTCTTCTCGAACTCTCCAAGAGCTGAAATGTGCACTTTTAGAAACATGCCATGTAACTAACCAAGACTTGATCAACATTTTGGTAAAGTCTATGAAATCAAGATGTCAGGTATGTATATCTGTCCGAGGTGACGATACACCCTATTAAAGAAAAGATTTTCCCACAAAAAGGACTTAATTTTTCCATCATTTTACAATTTCCGTAAATTTGTTTTTAATTTCGTTATTCTGCAAATAATCAACTGCCAGACATTGCAATTTATGTTAACTAATGCTTTTGTACAAATTTCTATTAATAATTTTTCATCAAGTATCAGTTACGTTTTATTTCTGACATGATTCTTTAATTTTGATACCTGTGAATATACACATAAACATTTTATGAAGCCACAGGCTAAAGTTGCCTACTTCATGAATTTTATTGACCAACTCATGCAGTCAAAGCCAAAATATACGACTATTTACCGTTATATCATGCTTTTACCAACCATTATTAAGTTCTGATCTCCCTGGCTGCAAGAGAGTTTATGTGATCATAAATAAAGCCATATAACGATATTATTAATCATTTCTGCTAAATTAATCAAATAGTCAGTCTAATTTAATATTGAGCTATATATCCAACACAGAAATAAGATGACAAGTCTCTTAACTTAGCATGACGAATTTCTGCTTTCTCATGAAACAGATTAGCTATGGAACTATCTTGTAGCACTTGTATACATTTTTACATTTCTTTTTCATTTTCATTACACATTTTAAATACTTTTATAAAGTTGCTTGCAAAGGTTATAAGGATTCAGAACTTTCATGGCATACAAGTAATTTCTACTTTTACTCGGCAATTATATGGTTATTTGAATCTTATGCTTTTTATAATTTAAAAGCATTATATACATAATTTTTTTCTCTTACTTTCTGTTGCGAAGATAAGAGTTATTTGGGTAAGTGCTTGAAATTCTAATACAGTACAAAGTCCGTAATCCGGACGTCCATTATCCGGAATGATCTATAATCCAGACCTCAAAGCCGCAACTTACGCATGCGCGTTTAATGAGCGCGTCCACTACGCATGCGCGTAAAGCGTTTACCCATGCGCGCTTTCGATAGAAAGTGACAGAGAGGTTATTGAAAACGAAAAAATTTCGATTGACAAGTTAGTCGGTATTCTCGACACAGCAATTACAGGTCTTGAACAGTGGAAATTTGTAACTGAACAAGAAATTATTTCTGTTTATAGAATTAAAGAGAAAGTATTAGCACAAAAAACGAAGCAACTTAAACAACTTACATTGAAAGAAATGTTTAATAAAGTAAACAAATAAATATTAAGCTTTTTTTTTTTATGTAAATTTTGATATTCTTTAGATCAGAATTGCTCTTTATTCCATAAATTACGGTTTTATATTTTTAATTGTATAATTTCTGCATTCCATCTTAGTTATTTACTTAATTAGATTTAAATTGATGATCTGTAATCCGGAAAAAACCCTAATCTGGAATCGCCGAAGTCCCGACGAGTCCGGATTACGGACTTTGTACTGTACTAGTTAGTCATCATTCATTTATCTGTAAATTAAGCAAATCTTTTCCTTACTTGACCAATAATATCTGTTGCCATTTCTCCTTAAATAACTGCATACATATACATGTGCACTTGTACATATATAAAATGTATATAAATGTATGTAAAATTTTTATATAAGTAATTTGACCTTCATCTTAAAAAAAATCAATCCAACTAAAAATCCAATCAGTATATAATAAATCAAGCTATGCTTCAAGTAACTGATTTTAAATGGAGAAAAGCATTAAAGATATGCAATACAAATTAAATTACTTTTTAAAGTTATACAAAATAATTTTACTTTGCATAAGTAGGCAGAACAAGAGAACTGACAATGACAAAGGGGTGCCAATTGCCTTCCAATAAGATTTATAGACATGAAATTTGACAACTCCTTTTTCTTTCTCCTCTTCTGCAACTGTATCATCATCATCATATTCATCAGCTGTTTTCGAGGTTTCAGTGTTAACTTTGTCATCTTGATCATCTTCTTTGCTACTCAAAAAGTACATGGGCAAAATCTTGTTTGGGGAACCTAAATTTGAAACAGTAACAGTAAATTCATAGAGATTTTTCAAAATACACTGTTACATACATGCTTACAGAAGGGGGAAAAAATTGATTCACTGAAAAAGGTACCTTTATATAACAATACAGACGGCATTTGCTTTATAGCTTTTCATTTTTACAAAACACTCTATCTTAGTCCCTTATCTAATTATTGAAACAAATGCAGATAGGATTTTCACACTTAGATAAAAAAAATTTTAAATACTATTTAGCATTCATGCTTAAAGCTCCCCATTAGCTAAAACACATAATGAATCTTGATTTTGGCTCTTCAGCAGACATACAAACTATAAATATGAATAGCAGTTATGTTGACATATTAACAGATGATCTTCTTTTCCCCACAGCCTAATCTTCAATATCTTGGGCATCATGAAGGCCACTCAATAACTTCTTAGGGATCTTTAAAAGGTGCCAGGGAAATTAGTAAAGAGATGAATAGGATTTCAGACTCAGATCTGGGACTTTGGGGCACTTAAATTAGCTGTATATTTATACTAATAATATTTTATCAATGATTTAGTATTATTTGGTAAAATTTTATAGCTTTTGTTGAAAAGGTGGAAATACTTAAAATATTTTCTTACATAATTTTTAATGTCAATTTACTTCTTTGTTTCACAAAAATTTATTTTAAACAAGGTTGCATAAAATTGTTCTAATTTGAGGAAAGAAATGAATCTTGTCTGCATGTATGTGTGTGTGTGTGCATATATAAATATACAGGGTGTTAATAAATGAATGGCGCAGTTTAAAAGATTAATAAATTGGTTTATTATTTTATATGGACATGATGTATTAAACAGAATGCTTCAATAAGTGCAACCTTGGTCACACAACAGGCATCTACACGATAATCAAATTCTTCTCATGCTCGGTGTAGCATGTCTGCCATGACGGTCTGTAGTGCATGCTTTATCCGACCATATACTTCCTCAAGTGACATGGGCATTGGTGACACATAAACTCGGTCTTTAACAAACCTCTAAAAAAGAAATTGGTGTTAAATCAAGCAAATAGGGTGGCTAGGAGAGAAGATAGTTGTCTGCTTTTGCAGCACTTCCAAACAAGCGTTGATGAAGAACACTATTAAGAAGCTCTTGTACACTTCTGTAAAAATAGGGCGGAGCACCATCCAGTTGCAAAATGCAATCATGATAAATGGTGTTCAGCTATGGGTAACAACCAGGTTTCCAACATATCTAGAATTGAGTCATCGATCACAGTTTCTTGTTTGAAGAAAAATAGTCCATGCACTTTCTCGAGAAACACTGCACAAAAAATGTACACAAAACTCATGCTGCACTGAAACCACAGATCTGGACACCTCAAAATGGATCATAAAAAAAGCTTTTCCTATTGTGGCACCATCTTGTAAACTGATGCTGTGGCTGAGGACAAACAAACAACAGGTAGCAAATGAGAAACTTGTACAGTTGCCAATGCTTACAGTGTAGGTTTTACATGGGTTAGGTAATACATCGATTTATTATTAATTAAATCACACCGTTCACTTATAAACACCCTGTATATACTGGGTGAATCAAAAACTTTGGGGCCAAGTAAAAATTAAATAATTCAAAAAGTACAAAGAATAGCATAATACAAGTTTTCACAGAAATGCATAGAAAGACATGGGATCCTTTTTTTATAATTTAATTGCTAGAATAGATTTACTTTTCAGTGAATGGATGCTTCAGTTGTATCAGAACTCATACACTGATGTAGCATAGTTTGCAACACAGTTATAATGAAACAACTGTCGCTGATGAGACTGATGATAAAATGTGGCCCCACACTCTGAATAACACTGAAGAAGATTGAGTTGTAATTTCTGTCACATGATTGCAAACAACTTTTCTTTATTAATTTCTTTTTCTTGTAGCCATTTGTGTGGGAAAGAGTAACTGAGGGCATTATCATCACTGTTTGCAGTAGGTGCTCTGCATGATCTGTGCAAAAACATACCACCCTACATAAATATTACACTATGGAGTACTTGCCTCTCTTGCTAGAAGGAAATGATGCTGTCTCTTGAAAGCACAGCATAATACTCAACTGTAGAAAAAATAGTTCAAAAATAACAACTATGAACCCAAACAAAAGAAGGCTGAATGACACAGTGAACCCTGTCATATTTGGCTGACCTCACTCTATCATCTTTGGCTCATGCAAGGAATTTCCACAATTGTGTGATGGTTCTCTATTGCCCAGATTTGACAGTGTGTGCATTTGACAGTGTGCTCTATTTTCCAACTGTAGAAAAAAATCACTTTGAAAATTCATGACATCTCTTGCAATAATTTGATATCAGTTCCTCTATGTGGTGAGTTTTGTAAGGATACTGTTGAGGATGGTCCTGATCGATTGCCATGCAGTCCCATACGAAATGCCAATTAGCTAGGACCACTAGAATGTGACCTGTTGGCAAAACATATAATTATTTTAGCAATAATTTTTTATTATTAAAAAAAATCACATGCCTTTCTGTGCATTTTTTAAAACACACATATACATGTCTATACTTTTCAAATAATTTAATTTCTACTTTTTCTATTTTCTTTTTGCATCATCTTGTATAATTTAGTGGAGTTCAAATATTACTATGTGAAACATAATACAGTCAAAAGTCGTTAATTCGGAAACCCATAATCCGGAATGATCTATAATCCGGACCTCAAAGCTAAAAACTTTCTGCGCATGCGCCGCGTTGGCACATGCGCACAGGCGTTTTACGCGTGCGCGTAAGACCTAGACTACTGCGCATATGCGTGTGCGCAAGTGCAGAATACGTTTTCGCGTGCGCGTTTAATGTATAACGGACGGTGTAAGCTAAAATTATCTAATTATCTATTTCAGTTAATGTTAATGATTGCGTTGTTCCTTAATCTTCGAATTGGATTTCGCTTATTATTTTTTTTGCAGACTGTAAGAGCAATTTTATAAAAGTAAACTTGAAACTTTCGATTATGTCAATAGAATTTCCGATGATGGAACTTCCAAAGGATCAACAAAACGAAAGTATGTTTCAATGTCCAACAAACAAAAAGTGGAATTGCTGCAAAAAATGGATAAAGACATGAAGAATGTGACAGAGAGGTTAGTGAAAACGAAAAAAATTCGATTGACAAGTTAGTCGGTATTCTCGGCACAGCAATTAACGGGACTTGAACAACGGAACAAGAAATTATGTCTGTTTATAGAATTAAAGAGAAAGTATTATCACATAAAACGAAGCAACTTAAACAACTTACATTGAAAGAAATGTTTATAAAAAAAAACAAATAAATATTAAGCTTTTTTTTTTTTTTTTTTTTTTTTGTAAATTTTGATACCCTTTAGATCATAATTGTTCTTTATTTCATAAATTACGGTTTCATATTTTTAATTTTAGAATTTCTACATGCCACCTTACGAGATTTAAACTGATGATCTATAATCCGGAATCGCCGAAATCCCGACGAGTCCGGATTAACGACTTTTGACTGTATATATATACTAGTATAGAGATATATACATATAGAAGATTTGAGATACATATTTAGCATTGTTTTTTATTAGGAAAGATAAATTAGATTTTATATTTGAGGTGTACATGCATTCAGTGTTGCAGACATCATTTAATGTATTATGACAAAACATAACTTTCAACTTGTTGGGCATGATGTATTAAAATGGGTGTAAATAGTGATGATTCTAAATGCTTTGATGATTTTAAGTTAATTTCTTTGTTTCATCTTGATTTCTTTTGTTTCATATCTTTGAAAATATTCTACATAACTCAATAGCACTGGCCAAACTAAAAGGTGGTGGATGATAAATCATTGTGACCAAGATTTGGCAATTCAGTCTCCTCCCTCCCATTTATCTTTTGTGGAGAATGTACGGCTTTTTTCTCTCCTCACTGTATGTTTTTGTGGAAAGCACATTTGGCTGGCATTTCCGGAAATTCCGAATTTTCCGGAAGCCCAGATTTTAAATTCTAGCAAGGGAACTACATATTTTTCATGTCTTCTGCTCCAAAATAAAATGACTATATTAAAAAAAATATCTAAAAGGAATTTAGTTATAGTTTTTATTTTAGCAGAAGACATTATGTAAGCAACACAAAATAAATAGTTAGCATTTCAAAACAATACACATTATATACATCAATATAGTTAGCATTATATAGCTTTAGTTTGTATTGCTTGTTCTACATGCCATGGCAGTGAATTAAAATTTTGATGGTGGCACATGGGATAGACATTCAAGCTATATTTACCAGGAGCCACAGTTCATCAAGATTTGCTAAAGGACTCTATCCTATATATTTTTAATGAGGGATAAATCAGGTGATCTAAGCAGGCAAGGAAGAAATAGGGCATTTTATTACAGTATGAAGAATGAAATCTTCCTGCTGGAAAATTACCATGAGAAGATACTGCAATTATGGAAATGCAATGTCTTTGATGTAATAAGCATTCTTGATGGTGGTTTAAACTTTAAAAAAAAAAAAAAAAATTTGCAAAGTCCAGCAACATTATACAACAAGAATGCTCCTTGTTTTCGCAGTATGCCAGGTATGAACAGTCTTATCACTATCTTTCATATTGTCAGGGGTGGATACATGCACAAACAATCCACGAACATCATTTTTGCCTACACAAAATCATGGTTCATCAAAGATGATGTCATCCCACTCAGTCTGCCAAACACAACACTGAATGGCAGAATGTTCCTCAGGTACCAAAAGTAATCTGAAAAGCAACTGATATGTGTTCAGAGCATAAAAAAGGTGATTTATTGGGACAATGAAGAATGTGTAGATTCATCAGTACAACATGAATATTGCTGATGATATAGTACAGTCAGCCAAAGATATTCTGATATAATGATGTACCTCTTCACCTGCTAATGTTTTTCCGTCATGCTTCATGTCTTACGTTTTTCCTTACACTAGTCTTTGGATGTTCTTTTTTTTGCAACAGACACACTCTATCTCACTTGCTTGGCAATATCACAGAAAGAAACATTCAATTTTCTCATACCAAAAATACATCCTCTGTCAAGTGATTATATGGTTGTCACGTATGATACAGAATCATTCTTCTTGAACACGAACAAAGATTCCTATCCAAACATTATGCATTTATTTGGAAAAAAAACTTGTTTACAAATGGATATACAGTCAAAAGTCGTTAATCCGGACTCGTCGGGACTTCGGCGATTCCGGATTATCAATTTTTCCGGATTATAGATCATCAGTTTAAATCTCGTAAGATTGCATGCAGAAATTCTAAAATTAAAAATATGAAACCGTAATTTATGAAATCAAGAACAATTATGATCTAAAGGGTATCAAAATTTACAAAAAAAAAAAAAAAGCTTAATATTTATTTGTTTACTTTATTAAACATTTATTTCAATGTAAGTGTTTTAAGTTGTTCGTTTTTTATGTGATAATACTTTCTCTTTAATTCTATAAACAGACTAATTTCTTGTTCAGTTACAAAGTTCCACTGCTCAAGTCCCGTAATTGCTGTGCCGAGAATACCGACTAACTTGTCAATCGAAATTTTTTCGTTTTCACTAACCTCTCTGTCACCTTCTTCATGTCTTTATCCATTTTTTGCAGCAATTCCACTTTTTGTTTGATGGACATCGAAACGTACTTTCGTTTTGTTGATCCTTTGGGAGCTCCAGCATCGGAAATTCTATTTGACATAATCGAAAGTTCAAGTTTACTTTTATAAAATTGCTTTTACAGACTGAAAAAAGTAATAAGCCGGATCCAGTTCGAAGATTAAGGAACAATGCAATCATCAACATTAACTGAAATAGATAATTAGATAATTTTAGCTTATACGTCCGTATACATTAAAAACGCGCACGCGAAAACGTATTCTGCACTTGCGCACACGCATATGCGCAGTCGTGAAAGGTCTTACGCGCACGCGTAAACGCCTATGCGCATGTGTCAACGCGGCGCATGCGCAGAAAGTTTTTAGCTTTGAGGTCCGGATTATAGATCATTCCGGATTATGGGTGTCCGGAATTAACGACTTTTGACTGTATTTTGAGTTGCCATTTGCAAAACATTGGAATTTATGGACAATAAGGCGGAAGAGCTAATTACTTTTCTACATTGCTTTCTATATACATATATTCTAACAAAATAAAAATGTTAGCTATATTCCTTGCAAATGTTTTGTTTTAAAAAACAGTTTTGTACATAAGTTGACACATTAAAAATCATTATTGTTTAAAAATCAAATAGTTTAAAGATTTAAAAATTAATCATAGACATAAGTTTTTAGCTATCCATTATAATAGACTGATAAATCATTATATCCAAAATGTAAAACTGAAATAATAAAGAAAACTGAGATTAAATACAATATGAAAGCTATGCCATACAAAATAGCATACATATTATTTGCAACAATTTTCAAAGGCAAGATGATATCCACAATTTCTTCAATTAAGATCTACAAGAAATATCATACACAAAGCAGAATACTAAAATGAAAGTCTAATACAGTCAAAAGTTGTTAATCCGGACTCGTCGGGACTTCGGCGATTCCGGATTATCGATTTTTCTGGATTATAGATCTTCAGTTTAAAATGGTAAGATGGCATGCAGAAATTATACAATTTAAAATATGAAACCGTTAATTTATGAAATAAAGAACAATTATGATCTAAAGGGTATCAAAATTTACAAAAAAAGCTAAAACTTAATATTTATTGTTTACTTTATTAAACATTCTTTTAATGTAAGTTGTTAAGTTTCGTTTTTAGGTGATAATACTTTCTCTTTAATTCTATAAAACAGGACATAATTCTTGTTCAGTTACAAAGTTCCGCTGTTCAAGTCCTATAATTGCTGTGTCGAGAATACCGACTAATTTGTCAATCGAAATTTTCGTTTTCAATAACCTCTGGTCACTTTTCTTCACTATCGGAAGCGAATTATAATGACGAGGAATTGATTTAAATCATATCAAAGACGGAGTACATCGAGATGAAATACTACATTTAGTAAGGAATTATAAGCCAAATAAAATAAAAACATCTGCCCTGAAGATAAGGATAGTGCTGACAGAATCAACTTCCAATTCATTGCGCCCTTGCGGTGTTTCCCCCCCGCCGCAGAGAGCAGCATAAAATTGATAAACAGATTTCGGAATGGTTTAGATAACAAAGGATATGCCTTTATCCCATTTTTTGCAGCAATTCCACTTTTTGTTTAATTGACTTCGAAACATACTTTCGCTTTGTAGATCCTGTACATATTAGTAAAATATATATCGGAAATTCTATTTGACATAATCGAAAGTTCAAGCTTACTTTTATAAAATGCTCTAACAGTCTGCAAAAATAATAAGCCGGATCCAATTCGAAGATTAAGCAACAACGCAATCTGCAACATTAACTGATTTAGATAAATTTAGCTTAGCTTATACCGTCCGTTATACATTAAACACACATTCGTTAACGTATTTTGCGCCTGCAAATTCGCAGCCGTAAAGGT